GCTTCCCTGGCAAGCGCAAGGGCCTGAGTTCAATCCCTGTTCCACCAAAAAAAAAAAAAAAAAAGAAAGAAATAGCAGGATTTTTCATTTGTGTAAGTTTCAGGTATTTTGTCCAAAGAAATAAGGTTTTGATAGCTGTTTGTCAATAAAATCACAAAACCTTTAGAATCTAATCTTCACAGTGATGTTTATCAATAACTGCATTTTTATAAAAATAAATAGTGCTGTTACCCAGTGAAAGTATGTAATCGATGGAAATCTGTGTGCCACTACAAAAAGTGCACACAAAAAGTGAATCAGATTTCTGTATTTCAGCACTGAAACTTCAGACTTTTGTGTTTTATATAGATGATTAAATAGAATATATCTTCATTCTTCTTGTATTTTTCTTTCATTAACTCAAATGTTAACTTTCTTGGAATAATTGTTCCTACTAATTAATGGTACATTTTAGCTTCTTTTCAAAGTCTGAAAAGAATTCCTCTTTAATTTTTAGCCACATACAATTTTACAGTAAGTCTTTCTCTCAATTTTTAATACTGTTGCAGGGAAGAGATCTTTTATAATGAATTAAATCTCCTCCTGTGGATTAGATGGAGCTTCTTTAGGGAATAATTGGATCTTGTTTCTATTTTCCAATAGTGACAGAGTTTGGCTTATGATAGATGTTCAACAAACAAAGCTTGACAGATAGAAGTCATTCAGCTTTCATACCATTCCAGGATTTCAATACTTTTCAGGTGTAGGGCTCAAAACAACCAATGATTAAATTATTTTTTTTCTAAAATTATAAAAATTTACCTTTTAACTAGTGTAGACCACTGCAAACACTTCCATCCCCTACTTCCCTTTTCTGCACTCCATTATGCCCAGTGATTTTCCCACTGGACAGCCACTGGTTTCCTTAGCTAGAGCCCCTGTATCTGGAGCTGGGCACTAAGTAAATTATCAAGTGGTCACCTCCACCTACTCTAGCCATGTCCTTTATAACCTGTGGGTATTTACTTGAAAATAGTGAGAATTTTACAGTTTTTAATGTTACCAACTATTTTTTTGTGTTAGTAACACAACAAGTTGGCTTTGAAATTATAAAAATTATTTTTATATATACAGGATGGCTGAGGTGATTGTACTAAAAATTTCCATCAGTGTATTGAAAATAGC